TGATCAGACATGTCCCTCTCCCTGAGCTGTAGCTTCGGTGCTGTCCTCTGAAGTGAATTCTTCTGGGGAGAGGGGTAAAACTCTCTCTTATATACATATGAATTTCTGTGGATTTGTTTCTCTAGTACCTGGACTAACACAGTGAGGAATAGGCTTTCATTTATTCTATTGAGTGCAAGCCCCTGAGTTCATTGCACTTTAAGTCCTTCTTGCAGTTGAGATTGCTCTCTGTTGGCAACTTGGGTTTATTGTTTGGTCAGAATGTTCCATATGGATTCGTTGCTATAGTTTCTCTCTGCTGTCATCATACATATAGAAGAGTAGCTTCTTCTTTAGTGAATGAATGTTACTGCACTTATTGTTTTGACTCTGTCATTAATTTTGAAGTAATTTTGTTCTCTCTCTTATGTTATACATAAACCTCTCTATGTGCTTTAGCCAAAATACTTTTCTTTATATTTTCCTCATCATTATTTTAATGAATATTATTGACTGGATTAATGATACTATTATTAGAATTATTAAATAGATGAAGATTGCTTCTAATGTAATTTCTCAGAGTTACTATATTTCCCATGAAGTGAATCACTATTTAATTTATATAATTCAAATCCATAGCCATGGGGTCCATTCTGGCTTATAGCAGCTCCTAGGACAGAGTCACCAGCTTGGTTTCCGAGACTGTGCCTCTCATGGGAGCAGACAGTCTCCGCTGCTGATTTGTCAGTTAGCACCGTCCTGCCTCCTGGACAGCAGCACAACATACACCTGCATTCTACAAGTGAACTTGAGCTTCCACTCAAGGTTTCAGCCTGCCTGAGACGAAGCCGCTCTCACCATGCTCTGTGCTTACCTACTGTAGTCTCATTAGGGTACTTTCAAGAAAAAAGTTTCAAACTCATGGCTTCCAAGGGGGTCTACGGGACCAGTTCAATTCAAGGCAGTGTTCAGCCCAGAAGGTTATGGCAACCTCTTTTGGGGGGATTATAAAGGGATAATCTTGACAGATGTTCTTGAAAGACATAGGATGATGATGAGGACTTATTCAGAAGACATATTAAGATCATTGAGTACTATGTTGGGAGAAAAAGGTAGGGGTATTGCACTGATGACTTAAAAAAATGGGTTTTTTTATCACAACAATGTATGTACCTGCTTATTCTTTGAGTGTAGCAAAATCTGTGTTAGGAAAATTCATTGAAAAATTTACCACATCCACTTTCCAGTCCTGATCTCACTCCTTCAGGCTGCATTTTGGTCCCCACACTCAAAAGAATATTGCAAAGAAATACAACTGTGGTTTGATGTGCTGTAAATCAGAAGCGTGGAATTCCTCAGGGTGGGACAGAGAGAGGAAAACACTGCTGTCAAAAGTGTGTAGACCTAGATGGAGGATATCAAGAAACAATAGCTTTACAGTTTTGTTTCATAAAGTTTTCTATGATTTTGTGGCAGTATTTTCTGACTTAACCTTGTATAACTAGG